GAAATGTCTAATCGATATTGCATTGAGATGATGTGACGCGCGTAACTTCGGAAGGTCGTGTAACTATAAAGTTCTATTGAAAATGCAAAGTCTTTATGCGACGATCCGAGAAGCGGAGAGTCTCACACTTGCGATGCGCGTGAAAGCGTAGCAAAATTAATTTTCCACGAACAAATGCGATTATCGCGCATAGCCATCGCGCACGGTGACTTCGTGATATTCTCCTGCTGTATAAGTTAGAAAAACATACACATGTCGGAATTATCATTCTCATGGCAATATAGGTATATACCATTCATACATACTATATATTGCTGATTAAAAGATCATACAGCTAAAAATATCTCTATGATGGCATAGCTTTACAGCTTTCTCAGCTGCAGAATCATTTATATCGGAAGACTACGCATCCGACATTGAGAATAAAACGTGAGATTCTTTAAAACATTTGTTGAATACTATTTTTCAGAATATTTTTATCAGCTCTCGAAATAAATACATAATATATATATAAATCGGCCAATAAAGCCAAACGCGATGTTGTTGCGAAAATTGCGAAAAATAATTTTTTCGCTAATTGGAAACTTAGGAATCTTATGGTTGAGATCTCTAATTTCTATATTCCCTTTTTTAATTCCCCCCCCCCTGTAAAGAGAGAGAGAGAGAGAGAGAAATAGAGAGTTATATATACCTATATATTAAATATTATTTTTCATAGTCTCTAACTTGCAAATAAAAATATTTTTTAGATATTAAATCTCAATCTGCACAATTTTTTTCTTCAAATTTACTCTGAAAATCATGGTAATCGTGGGACAATATAAGAATTTTTTCTGATTAATATTTATTATCACAATAAAAAATATTAATATCTTAATAAGATATAAAATATGTTCGATTAATTTTATTATGTACATTAGTAATATTAATATTTTTTTTATTGCGTGGTGTAAATATTAATTAAAGAAACTGTTATAAAATTCGTCCAATACCATATTGTCCCACCATTATCATAATTTTCAAGATAAATTTTAAAACAAAAATTCCCTCTGTGTAATATGTGTAACATTAAAAATTACAAAAATATACAAAAAAGGGAGTATAATCTTCGAATAATAATCAATAAATATTTGCTAAAAGAATTTTAAATTCGTCAGAAATACGTTTTCTCAAATTGTCAGATTATATATTTCAGAAAAACAGAAAGAGAGAGAGAGAGATTTCAATATGTTTATAAATCTTTTTATACGCATTCTTTTTTTATCTTCTTATTGTTGGATAATTTTTCAGATCTATCACGTTCTGAATTCTGCGATTAAATTCGCCCTGAAAATTCGTTCAATTTGTATGTTTTCGACGCGTTGAAAATTGTTTTGTGTCTAATATAAATTGTGTGAGTTAATTTGGACGTCAAATTCTGCTTTCCAATATTCTACTCACCGATGTCCAATATTCTAATTCGCAAAAGTAATGAGTTAAACGAGAAAGTACAAGTGAATACCCTGCCTCGTGCAGCCGACCCACGAAATTGCGAAACTTAATTTCGCGGTTTCGCATCTCCCAAGAAACACCTCGAGTAAATTCACAGCCGACGAGACACTAATTATTCCTGTTACGTCTGGTTATTATGGCTCATTTATGTAATTTTAGTTTAGTTTTGTGACCCGAGTGGTATATTTGAGAGATGTTGCGCCTCGCAATTATAAAATACAATATTTCGACTTGATTTAAATGGGATATGTAATAACAGAAATTATTATATAATGCATTTTAGTGAAAATATTATATGAGAAATCAAGTTATATTTTTTCTCAAAGTTGAATTTTTTAAAATTTGTTTTTCAAGGCTCTTGAAAATATATACGACACCAAAACATAAAATAAAACAAAATAAAAATATTTTTATGTGTAAAAATATTTTCCATTCAGATAAAACACAATATAATAAAATATATCCATATGGTATCACATCCAGTTGTAGTGAATACTCGATGAAAAATAAATTTGTTTGCCAGAAATAAGCTATTATAAATGCAAAATTGTCTACACAACATATACATGTTGCTCGTTTGAATCTCAAAGCACGCGTACATATACATATATTATATCATTGAAAATTTCACGATATACATATATTTCTTTCAATTTATCAGTTTTAATCTTTTCACGAGACAAAAAAATCAGACAAAGATTTTTAATCATTGTTGAAATAAAATATAAAATACGTATCAATTGTATTTTTCTTCTTTTAAAGATATTTTATATGTATAGAGATATACAATTAAAAATAGTAATCTGTTAGTAATGATTATTTTTTCTTTTTTGATAATTATTTAAAGATATACAGTTTGATCGTATATTCTTATCTTTGTTCACCTACAATACATCTTTAATACATTGAGTGATTATAAAATTAAATTCTGATGACTAAAAGATTAATGAATTCAAAACTATGAGTATACTCAATATATAAATAAAAAAATCTGATTTATCCTCCAAATGACATTTATTCGCTTATTTTTGCAATATCCGCGATTCGAAATAAGAAGATTATTTCTTAAAATGCGCATCAAGATGGCTGATTGAGCAATTGAATAATCTTATAAGAACGACGGTGCAAGCGCTAAATTTGACTACTTGAAACTCTTAACACTTCTTCTTTGCAATAGCTCGTTTTCATCCCAGCAGATGATGCATACCTAATTATCACATACCCTCGCATCTTTCTCTCTTCTACATATTTTTTATTTCGCAAAGTTATTGCAACGAAGCGCGAAATGTTTGTTGCATGCTAATGCATGCGAGACTAATTAAGCTCCGGGAAAGTGTGCGGCCACAATGTCGAAATGCATAATTCCAAATTAAATTCGCGATCGTTATCGCGATGTTATATAGGGAAGAAATGGAGGGAGGGAAAACATCCGGTCTGGCGATTTGCATATTATTCAAACTCGTTCCTGAACCGCGACTTATGGATTGTCCGGCAAGTTTCTTGCCAAGTGTCAGAAGTGGGTCGACGTAATTGAAATAGATGAGAGAAGGCTTAATTGCCGCGAAGAGCACAACGTATTCGCCGTCATTTCCGAATACAAAGAGATCATTCGTGCGGCATATATGAAATGGTCCTCTAATTTGATTAAGCGCTCCAAAACTGATAACAAGGATGACATATTTGTAATATGAATACCATTCCGGATTATTGAATATCTGAAATTGATTTTCTCAAATTTAGCTTCAGACGCTTGTAACATTTTAATGCCAAGAGGGATTTTTTTTAAGTACATCTACGCGACGTATTTCTATTTATAATTATATTATATGATAAATTAAGAATAAGATATTTTCTATATAATATATATGTGTGTAAAAAAGTTGAAATAAATTAAATGCAAAAGAATACAAAAAATCAACATAAATATATTTGCATAAGAATGACATTTCTCATTTCAATATATATAATCGCACGTTGCAAAAATATAAAATTAATAAATAAAATAATAATAAATAATAAAATTAATAAATAAAATATTTTGATGAGACAATTTTTCTATAATATTTTAATTGAAAAATCTTGATAATTTACTATAATCAGCACTCTGTTGCATTTCAATTCATTTTTTCCATAAATAAACCCTATAAATAAAATATAAAATTATTAAATAAAATATTTTGATGAAACGATGAATTTCTCTATAATTTTAATTGAAAAATCTTGATAATTTACTATAATCACTCTGTTTCATTTCAATCGAGTTTTCCATAAATATAAACACTCGATGTACGGAATACGAAAGGGTCATCGCGCGTACAATTTCTATCGCTCGAGTTGTGTCCGCGGCGTTCCTACAAACGAGTAACTGTACTTCGCGATTCACTCCTCCGCGCGTGAGCGAACGAGGCCCAGCGAACGTAGAGAGGGAGATGACGACGTATACATCGTCGCTGGGAAAGAGAGAGAATCGATTATTACGTCACTTGGTCGATGCCTCTATCTCGATGGGCCCAACGCGAGCGCGCGGGCCCGTTATATACGATTATTATTCATCATGCCAGATGATGCGTCTTCGAGTATCTTTCGTTCACGTTTTCAAGTACTCGGATGTTTATTTTACGCACACTTGGATACGTAGCAGATTATTATTACAATTTATTTTCATATTATTTTAATCAAATAAACATCTAAGAATCGAGTGTTATATATACTTACGTGATTTCATCTTAAATCTTTTCGATTTTTTATCGTTGCAATCAATTTTTGAAAAAAAGTTCAGAAATTATAATATTAATCTGTTTTCGATTTTAATTTCGAATATATGTATATCTTGTTGTAAAAACAATTTGTAATATAAGTGTTAAGTCAAGAAAGAGTTGTGTGAACATAAGAATAATGAATAATGAATAATAATGTGTGACAGAAGAAAAAATTGAATGTCCAGAAAACTAGGAAGATCTAATATAATTTTCTAGTTTTTAATCCTTTATACAATACTTTCAACATTTAAATAAAATTATAAAAATAACTTTTCATTTATGAATTATCGACATTTTATTTTTTCGGAAATTATGTGTAAATCATTAATACACTGAAAAAAAATCCATGTACTTTTACATGGACCCCTTTTATGCGAAAATCATATGTAATTTTAAATTTACTATTTTTATTTTATTAGAACTTTATTTTATAAGTATTTATCCATTCGACTTATAACATTATTTTATAGCATTGACTAGCATTTTCTATGTGCAGTTCCACGTTCAATGGAATATTTTTAATCTTGAAAATATATAAGAATATCCTTTCATATGAAATTACATATAATCTGTAATCTTCCATATAAGTAAGTAGCAATATTGCATGATTATGCTGGGTTGGAAAAAACCTAGCATAATCATGTGTAATTTTCCATAAATATTTTTTCATTGCATATAAAACCGGAATTTTACTCCAGCACTTTCTACAGCGAGTGTCTTGATTGTTTATTTGTCTCATAAATATTTTAGGCACCGCACGTGTGAACGTAACCGAAAACTGAATGCGAAGGAAATACGCGGGAAAGAAGGAACGGTATCGACCAGCGCGGCGATTGGTTAATGATCGGTGGAAAGGAGAAACCCTCAGAGAGGGACCTCACGCGATGAACGCGGCACGCACCCTCGTCTCGCACCCCTCGTGCTTTATCGATCCTATCGCGGAAGCGCAGGTGACCATTGTTGTTGTTGGATCGGCGAATTCGAGAACGCAGATGCGGCGCACGCCGACTCGCTCGAGTACATGTAATGTACAATGATTTGAGGGTCATCCTCGCAAAAGGGCAAAAATAAAATATATGGTCAGTGTGTTGTGCTTAGATGATTTTTAAATTAGCTAGAAAAGATGAGATAAAAATATGTACATTCATCTTATTGTTAGATAAGATGAAGATGATTTTGTTTGAAATATATCTATATAAAAGATAAAATGATATATAGTGATTCATCTATATAATTTTCTAGATAATAATTTTTAAGACTGCTTATGTAAACACAGTTATAAAGAAAATGTAAATTATGAAAGGGATGCAAAAATATAATGTATTTATATTTTTATAAAATACAATATAATAAAATATTTTTATTGAAAATAAAATATATTGTCAGTGTGTTGTGCTTAGATGATTTTTAAATTAGCTAGAAAAGATGAGATAAAAATATGTAAACTCATCTTATTGTTAGATAAGATGAAAGATAAAATAACATATGGCGATTCATCTAGATACTTTTCTAGATAATAATTTTTAACTGCTTATAAAATATGTATATTTATATTTTTATTTCGAAATTTTTATCGCTTACTGTTTAAGTTTTATTATTTAAGTATTTTTATGCTATTATTCTAAATCAAAATTATCTGAAAATTATTCTAGATAATTTAATAATATATATTTTTATTATCTATAGAAAGATAAGATGACGCCAAAGTTTTATCTAGATGATCATCTATATAATTTTTTTAAGATAACAGCAAACACTGTATATTGTATATACGATTGAAAAATTCGAAGAATATCTTAAAATAAAAAATTATTTTAACAATTAAATGTAGGAAATAATAAAGATTAAAAATATACTTTTCCATTAGTTTTATGTTGCATTGAGAATTTTCTCTTAGAATTTACCCTGAAAAAATCATGATAATCATGGAACAACATATACTGGAAGAATTTTAATATTTGCCACGATAAAAAATATTAATAATGTACATAATAAAATTAATCGAACGTATTTTATATCTTATTGTGATAGATATTAATATTTTTAATAAGAAAGAAACTCATAAATTTCTTCCAATATTATATTGTGTATGATTATCATGATTTTCAGGGTAAATTTTAAAAGAAAATTCTCTGTGTTCTTGATTGAATAAACAAAATATTATAAAACATTTTTTTAACATCAATATGCACTCGTCGGAGAAAGTTTCAAATCATTTTTATATAAATATTAAACTATATATACACAAAAATTAATATTGGAAATTTTTTTTATTTTTTTAAAAGATAAATTTTTAAAAATTATAAAAAAATCGTGCTTTTTTTATACATATATTAATAATATATGGTCATTTTGCAAGTTTCAGGTCGACGTAAGAGAAGATTGAATAGCTCGCGCGCGAAAAGAGGGAAGAGCGAAAACAACTCTTCGGATTACGAACGCGGCGCGGTTAAACGAGATTTATTCCCGGAGCTGCCGATTCCGGGGTCGTGATGACGGGGAATCGACAGTTAATGACGAGAACCGCAAGAGACACGAGGCAATGATACGATGCGGTGTCGTAGAAAAGACGTGACTGAAACTCAACTATGCGGTCACGACATGGACACGCGTATGTATATATATATATGTGTGTGTATATTTATGCGTCTTTATATAAAATCAGCTTTTACCTCAAATCAATTCCGAGTTTGTTCCTACTGAAACCGGAATAACACGTCCGATTTTACTATATATTCATCGCACGCACATTCCTTTCCACTCCGTTCGGCTCGAAATTATAAAATAATAATTGCGTTTTTTTCCCTCAGTTTCAGCTCTTTCCTTATAATGCTAATATATCGCAGCGTTATTACGTGAATAATAAAAATTAATAATACATTTCAGATAAGTGAGACAAACTAACTGAATGAAAGAACGTATTGTTTCGCGCTTTTTTTTATACGAGAGATTGCAGTGAAAAACTTTAATCGCGCGTGTGCAAGATAGCGGAAAAAGCATCAACAAAGGCGGACGAGTCGAGCAAGGAGACAACAAGAAGGATGCAGATGTTACACTGCATGCGTTCCAGAACCGGAAGTGGACGGACCGGATAACGATAGGGAGTCCGTACGCACCTTCCGGCTAAAAAAAAACGCGTGTTTACCCGAGAAAGGTATACGTTTTCTCTGTTTTCGAACGGATTTGGTAAACGGAAGAAGAGCGCACTCGAGTGAATACATGAGAATATGTTTAAAGTCTACGTGTTTGAAGAATGCATTTGCACATCGCATATAGTGATATTTAAAAAGTCAGGTTCAGGATGAATAAGAAAAAATTCAAGTCACGCGCGTGCTTTCTTATTGTTAGATAAATCTTTGCTTCTCATTCGGTAGATAGTGACAAAAATTATCTTACTCTTGAAATTCTATTTTTTATTTGTTCTATTCATCAAGGGAGAATAGAAAATTCGAAAGAAAATATATTAATCGTAATTATATAAGATAATGCTTCGAAAAAGTATGAAATTTTCATCAATTAAATTCTCTCTTACGGTTATAAAATGGGAAAGATATTTTGTAATTGATTGTCATTCATCGAGACTGATTCAATTTTCAATAAATCAATTTTCAATAAATAAATTTAAAAAATATATATATATACATATTTATAAATATGTATAAATATTGCGCAATGTGAATTCATTTGGTTAATCAATAAAATATTAATAAAGTATTAAATTATGCAAAAAAGTATAATATTTAAAATGAAATATTGCACTGCAAAAGAAAAAAATTGTTCTTTTCGAATATAAGAAAGAGATAATTTAAAAAACTATTCCTTGAAAGGATACATTTTTAGAGATAAGTATGGATACTGAAAAATTTATAGTTACTCATATTATTGTACTCGTTGAAAAAAGTATTTATTATATATAAATATAGATTTTTTCAAATGTATTTAGGTCTAAATCACATCGTAAATGTATTTAGGTCTAAATCGTTCGCGCAATAAAAATATCGTAAAAGTCGTTCGAATGGTCCAAAGATCATAAAGTCAATTTAAAGATGGAAAATTTCTGGCGCGTGTCTTTATGGAACAATGTTGGCTAGGAATCGGTGGGCTGCATTTTATTAACCCTTTACCCAAATTCTAGAGAAATCTACTGCATAAACTATAATTATAGACGTAAAGCACTAGAACTATTTAGGCAAAGTTGTGTAAAAAAATCAATGTTGCAGAAAATAAATAAAATTGAACTGAAAATTTCTTTTAAAATAATTCTGTAAAATAATATAATATATATTATTGTCTGAAATAAAACGCAAATTTGAATTTTTGAAATCAATTATCTTTTTATATTTTATTTTATTAATATTTATTTATTTATTATCTACTACTAAATTTGTTTATTTTTTTTCATACTCATAATATTTTATTATTTTTAACTTCTAAGAGATTGAAGTATCTTATATAAGAGTTATAACTGTTATTCTAGCAATAATATCACGTCTGCAGAAGTTTTATATCTATAAAATCCGATCGTGACAAAGGGTCATCGTTTCAAGACAGGTAATTTCATTCAATTAATACCTGTCGATTCAACGGAGTTGTCCCGGAAACGATCCTTGCAGTCAACATCGGAAAGTACGAAAGAAGAATCGAGATTATTATCCGGGCGTGAAATATCTCTTGAGGAGATAATTAGACAGAATTATCACGCACTCCAATTATCCTGAACACCATTACAAATTGTAATACAAATACCTATTCACATTTTTATGTCAGACTTTCCTTGGTAATGACATCTATACGCGTTTTTCTCTCTCGGAAAATACGCAAATTTTTATAGAATTTTTTTAGAATAAACATTTTCAGGGTGTCCAGCAGACTCAATGACAAAAATTCCCTGACTTTTTCATTTTTCCCCTGACTTTTAAGTATTATTTTTTCCAAATATATATTGCATATATCTATATGAAAAATCAATTAAATGTTAAATCATAAAATTCTTGAGATATTTTTGTCAACAATGAAAGGGTTCGGAAGTTAAAAAAAAACAAATATTTTAATCAATTATACAATCTGCATTATGTACGATAATCGAAACAAACATGTCACTATATAAACTATTTAAATAATCACCTTTTTATTTATATTATATCGAATTTTTTAGTTTTGTCTCTATCAAACACATTGAAATAAAATAATACGACGATGAAAATTTATACAACACAGAAAAATCCAGAAAAATAGTAAAATTTCCTGACTTTCCCCTGACAATTCCAGATTTCCTGAAAATTCCTTGACAATGCCTGGGTTTTCCAGATTTCCCTGACTGCTAGACACCCTGATTTTTGTTAGAATAAATTTTTCTCGGAATAAAAAAGTTTGAAGACATCCCCGTTAGAGAAGAGATATGTGTGTGTCGACTTTGCTGATTCGATTTTGATCAGCGAGAGGAGAGAATATAAACGTCAGCAAACGCGAACGTCAGACTCCGAGCATTGCACAGGGAAACAGATAGATTGCGCTAGATTCTAAGAAGGAAACGGTACTTTAGAAAATCAAATGGGTGCTCTTCCTTCTGAAAGAAAGAGAGCAAGAGAGATAGAAAGACTATCGCGTTTATACACCTTACCTCCGTCCACGGAACCGTCACCTGACCGGTATACACCGGTCAAAAAAGTCGAGATTCCCGCTTACCTACGGTTCTCGGAGATCGAGTAAGGTTCGAGATAAGAGGATCTCTCACGAGCGAGAACGTTCCGTTAACCTTTCCAGCCGACACTTATACGGAATGTTTTTGCTTCGACTATGACTCGTAAGCAAATTAAGAGATGAAAAGGGTAACCCTAGTCGAATTTTTCCACGCAAGATTGTATCATGTTATATTATTTGGCATTTTTATCTACAGCATCTCTTATTTCATCTTACTTAATCGATCCTATATTTTCCGAGAACTAAATGTTGGAGAACGCGAGGATATCTCGTTTAATGTTGACGTAAGATGTTGATACCACATAATTCAATACTATATTTAATGCAATTATTGATTAACAAAAGCAACAATTTTTTCTGATTTTAAACTGTCATATTACATTAACAAGGTGTCTCTTCATGACTTTCGTAATTTTATTATACATATCATATTTCCAAGTCACATTAAAGAAATATAAATATTTTATTAACATAATAATTTAATAATAAATATATATAATTAATATAATTATCATACTTGACAAATATATAATAATTATATAGTCTTTTTTTCTAGATTAATACGTAGAGAGAATCTTCTCTTAGAATTTACCTTGAAAACTATAGTAATCGTGGGACAATGGTGTTGGAAGAATATTTTATAAGAGTTTCTCTGATTAAATATTTACCACAATAAAATATTAATATCTACCACAATAAGATATAAAATATGTTCGATTAATATTTTTTATTGTGGCATAATAAATATTAATCAGAGAAACTCTTATAAAATTCTTCCAATACCATATTGTCCCAAGATTACCATAATTTTCAGGATCCATTCTGAGAGAAAATTCTCTCCGTGTAATTAAATAATTTTCAGAATGAGAAAAAAAGATCATTCTCAAAGACAACACAATGCGATGTAAACAGTGTTTGCTGTTATCTAAAGAAAATTATATAGATGATCATCTAGATGAAGCATTGACGACGAAAAGTGATGAAAAAAGTACTATCTTTATACTAAATTATCTAGAATAATATTCAGCTAATTTGATTTAAAGTCATAGCGCATAAAAAATACTGAAAATTTATAAATAAAAATATGAATATATTTTATATTCCTATATTTATAATTTTTTTTATAACTGTGTTTATACATAAGCAGTTTTAAAAATTATTATCTAGATGATATAATTTTATATTTTATCTATAGATATATTAAAAATACATCATCTCCATCTTATCTAAGATGAATTTCCATATTTCTATCTCAACTTTACCTAGCTAATTTAAAAATCATCTAAGCACAACACTGAATGTAAATGATCGCGCATACGGATTAATCATCGTAACCATGAAACTCGAGGTTCTCCTCTTCGTTTCAAGGACCAAGAAACGCATTTGCCTCTCGCGTATATACCTACATGCATACATATAGAAATCCTGATGAAAGCACGCGCGTTACGCGAATATAATTCGCTTCGCGCGTAACGTATGCGGAACGATGCAACTGATAGAGGAGCGGCGGTCGTACGATATATCGCGCTAATTACGAAAACTCCGGGGTAATTTTCTCATCTGCGCTTCTATAATGGTTAACCGGCATATTGGCCATCGTCGTCGGTTCGCATTGGGCGATGAGTTGCGAGCTCACAGGATGCTGCCGCTCATCATCGCCGTTGACGACGACACCGCGTCGGTGACGCGTGTCGCATGCGGATCCCGGATGGACGTGGTGGCCCCGAGAAAAAGAGAGAGAGAGAGAGCAATTTCGCGACACGGAGAAAATGAGCGGTGGTAGAGGAACGTAATAGTATGCAGAAAAGCATATATCCGCGCGCGAATATCTCGCGCGCGCGCGACTAGAGGAAGGAAGAGGTCGAGGATTGCGAAATTGCGTTCGTGGCAGTCGGAACGGGATCGTAACAATGAACCGGAAGCCTGGAGTCGCACGATTAAAGTCCATTTTAGAAATAGTTTCTTATTCCCCGCGCGATTCGTTACTTCAAACGGAAATATACTTCATTATCCGAGAGAACTTTATGTCAAATCTATATTTATATACAATAATATAGGGCAAATTTGACCGAAATCGTTAAACTAAAAAATAATTTTACATATTAATTATTTAATATGTAAAATTATTTTATTGTGTATTAATTTTAAAGAGCCTCTGACTAATCACCTTTTATTTATATTTATATATATATTTTTTTAATATAATCTATATTTATAATTTATATTTTAAATCTTGTGTGGCTTAAATTTTACATACCTTAGTTATTATTATAAATTATTTGAATTTTTCATTTTTGAGAAAAAATATTATGTCAAAAATGTTGTATTGCTTAATGTATCTTATTTTTCATTAGACACATTTTTTGAGTTTCTTGAAAAATTTTAAAATAATGTTCTTTCCAAGACAATTCAAACATGATAATCGAATCGTAAATATAATTTTCGAGAAAAAAGAGTAATGAGAAATTAGGTTCCTTATTGGTTGATTCCTTATATTTCTAAATTAATTTTGATGACAATATGTGTATAAATTAAAGGATGCGTGACGAAATTTATTACGGAAGACATATAATCTGATGTTAAATATATGACCATTACAAATTTCTCAATTTGCCATTTATTGTATACTGAGCAATTTATTCGGGACTTTGACGAGACGTTTATCTTTTTAATAGACGACGGGGTGATCGTCAAACTTTCACTATTCGCTGTGCGAAATGACTCGACATTATGACTTGCACCATGATATTTACATCGTTAACGTTTTAACTATAATA